TCATTGGTGGTGCTAAGCGGGGCAGCTCTGGCTAGCTATGTATCGTTGTTTCACAGCAGTATGGAGTGATGGGTCAGAAGTGCCCGCTATGCTCAGAGCACGCTCGAGCTGCGTTCAATTCAAATTTCCATTTGATTCTCCACTATTAAGGGGGATACTAGGAGTTTAAGTTCAGCCTGGGCTCTGACAATTTACACACAACATTAGGGTTATAATGGGGTAAGGTTGGCCCTGGGAAAATTGAGAGTCGAATGGGAAATAAAATGGACAATTACATGAACACCCTATGCACCGGTGGTCCCCAAGGTTCAGGGACATGATCACTTCGACAGTGATCATAGTTCCCTTGCTGATCCTCAGCTACTTCAACAGCGCCTTTCGGCGCCTCTGCAGCTCGTTCGACCTGCATGCCTCCCGGCTTTCGCAGAGGGCTACACATATTTCATTTGCTTTCTCCGAAGAGTGCCAAGAGCGCTTTGGCCACTTGGCAAAGGAGTTTCTGATCTATCGCAGTACTGGCCATCGAGCTCGTCGCAGATCTTCGGTGTGTGGGGACTGACCTGTGATTTCAAGCTCCTGTAGTCAGAGTAGATCCTCAGGCCACTCACTACCAAGCTCAGTCTCAAACACCCCTGAGATTTGTTGTTAGCAAAGCTGGCGAGGATTCGGAATCAGAGATCAGTGAGCCGACAAGTGCGGAGACAGGCGCCGAGACAAGCAGCAGCGATGAGGCGGGAGCCACCACATGCAGGATGGGCTTATCGTACATGAGCGTGTTGAGCGGTAAGATCCATTTCAACTGAAAGGCAGCACCTCTCCCAGTGAGGGCGAGATGACGTCCACGAGCTGCCACGATCTTGACCTGCGGGACATCTTGGACTTCGTGAGCCCTTCGAGAACTCTTCGAAGTGATCAACTTCCAGCTCATGGTGGAGGCAAGGATTCGCGTCGCGGAGGCGCTCTCCGACGGCGACCAAGGCGCTTCATAGAAGAAACGCCTGCATCGATTTTCCTTGGTCAAAAGCATCCGCCTGTAGCACAAGTGTGCACAAACTGCAGCTTGCAATGAGTCTAACGCATCTTTGAAATCCTCTGGACATGATTCCTGACTGCTAAGTGATGTTGTGGAGCTTCAACCTGGATGCAAAAAGCAGAAGCTGCGGTGCCCCTGACGCGCTTGCAGGTTTGCTTTGTTCTGCATTTAGACGGAAAGCATTCTGATCTTATGTTCTCCTAGCACCAGGCGGATGTGGCGTGGCCAGGCCAAACGCCGGGTGACAACAAGTTGTTCTTGACATTCGTTTCCTTTTCGCATCCTGTTGCAGGTGTATCGCATTTCTGGGTACGATGATGGTGCTTCGTCAGACGAGGAGTGGGAGTCTGGTTGCTTCCCGCAGAGCTACCGGCAGCCCGAATTTCGACTGTCAGGAGTTGCCTCCTGGGCGGTGCAGCGTCTCCTGGATTGGTGACAATCTTCACCAGACGCCGGGCCTGCGAATGAAGGCACGCAGGAAGGGAACAGTTTGGACGTAGAGCTAGTGAGGATTGAAGTGCTGTATCTTTGCCTGTTCTTGGTCCTCAGGAGGAGATTGCTGCATCCAATCACTCATGTTGCGCAACTTCAGGAATCCTCCCTGCAGCTTATCGATAGACCCTTCATCATTGGCGACCGCGTCTCTGCTGTCAAGGAGCTATCTGGTGCGTGCGAAGCTGACATGGACTCAGTCTTGTCAAGTTGTTGGGTCCAGTGGCCATGGTAGTTGCCAGAATGAGGGGGCCCTAATACAGACCCCAAAATACGCGAATCGTTATTATGGAGACCCCAAGAAGGTACCCTGGTTTTGATACTATATACCAAATGTGCATAGGTGTTCTGAACAATAAAACAAATTAATGTAAAGTTTACTTCTATTTTATTTAGTTTTTTTTTTTTTTTTTTT